TTCATTTACAAGCTATTAGTAGTCAGCGTTCATTATCAGATTGTAGGCGAAGTAAACACAAGAAAACTGGGCTGTTTAGATCTGACCCTTTAGTGACCACTTTCTTACGTTCTGAGCGTAAATGTTAAGGAATTACTTTTAATATACAGCTCTATGAGAAGGATTTTAACATTCGCTAACTCTTAACATTCGTTAAAAGAATTTTTAAATGAAAGCCTGGTTTCCTAAGTCATCATATAATATGAGGAATAGGGTATGTGGGCTTTTTTACCCGTTATACATCATTTGCTTCGCAATTATGCTTTTAATATATACTGATGATAAGTAGTCAGTAATTAAAATTTATTTGATTTCATGTTTGTTAATACCTTATATTGGCAACTAAAATAATGAAGGTTAGAGTTGCGTTCCGAAGAGCACAACTAAGATAGATCTATCTACAGAAATCTATGACAATGTTAACAACTATTGCTAAAAATTATTTAATTAATATTTTAATTATATTTTCTTAAAATTGCAGCCTCTACTTTATTTCTGATTATACATTAATGAACATTAATATTAAACTATAAATCAACTCATGGAATTTTTAATTTTGGAACCATTTTATAAAATGAAATGTGCTTATATCTTATTCTATCATAAATCTAAGATCTGTAAAACCACAATATTAGGTTTGTTAACAAATTTATAGTCTTATCAATAATATTTTTAGGATTTTTATGTTTATTGTGAAGCAAAGGCAATTAGCAACTCATAAAAACAAACACTAAACTCTGCCTTTCTCATAGCAAATAAAGAGCTTAAACAATACAAAAAATAGTTTTCTCTGTCTTAATGTGCTATGCAGGCGAAGACTTACTTTCCCCTAAACAGCCGCAGCAGTTAATACGACCATTTCATTCTAACGCCTCATAAAAATGAACCTAAAGAAAACCCAAAGCGGGTATAGAAAATATAGAGAGAGAGTTGCGTATCCTTGTACGTTGGCGCTCGTAAATCTTAATAAAATTTTAGTGAGCATAAACAGCACACTGAGTGATGTGTTTCCAAGCCAAACAACAACAAAATTCTGCAAACCAAAAAAAAGACAGAAAGAAGGAAACGAGAATCATTGCAAAGAGGGCGCGTTTTGTTCAAAGAATTTTGTGGGTGGTTTTGGTCGAGTTCGTTTGGTTGCATATAATTTTAAGAAAATAAATTATATTTATTTTATTTTACTTGATATTATTTTGAGTTGCTTAATTTAAAATTTTAAATATTTTTTTCCTTAAATTTTATGCCAATTGCTTTTATTAAAATTTATCTGCACTGCTATCGTCTTTTTCGTTTATAATCCAGCACATTCCAGCGCCATTTTCTATGATGAATTGCTTGTGTGTTGCACAAGACACATACACACATATACATAGACGCACATATAGCCATTGCCCACATGTATAGACGAGCGAGCACATAATTCAAGTGTAAAAAAGCAGGTGAACATTTTCACTGACAGATATAGCGTCACCGATTGTCATGACGCGTTAGTAGTGGTGAAATACTCAGTTAATGCTGAAAATAAACGTAGCTATAAAAAATCAACAACAACAACAGAAATGGCAACAGCAGCAGCAGCAGTAGCGGTAAAGTCTTCACTTAAACACATTTCATAGAATATTTGCAGCATTGGTGGTGGTGCGTTTTCTTATGCTTTGCTTATGCTGAAGCATTTGTAGTCCTTTCGAAAAACTGTATAAAAAGGATGTATGATGTGGCAGAAAACAAATAAAAATGATTCAATGAAAGTGCTCCAACGTATACACATATAGCATACACATGCTATATACACTCGTGCTGTCTCTTTTCATACTTGGAAAACACAAAAACGCCGCAAATGGCATTTTATGTTCTGTGATGGACATAACAAATTGCAGTACGCATAGTACAAGGTTGAAGCTGCGTCCTTCGTCTTTTGTGTTACAGCTGCTGGGCATATTTATGCCACCCCCATCTAGTTTTTTGTACCGCAACTTGAAAATACCGGCAAAACAATAAAGAGAAAATAACAAATTCTGTTATCAAAAACAAAAAATTTCGCAGACACAAAGAAAAATCGCCCATCAATGGAATTATTTGGAACTGCAAGCGACAGTTTTGTGTCGCAGACATAAAAACACATATATCCGATTTTTCGCAAGGATACGCGTACATGCACATTAAAATTGATTTTGGTTAAGGAATTTTAGTTAAAAATTTTGTTAAAGTTTGGTGAGGGCAAATATTTTTAATATATCGCATCTCGCATAGTGTTGGAATTTGGGTCAACATAAGATGCAGGGAATTATATTAACAAATTAAGGAATATAGGATACCTATATTAACTAAATGTATACTTAAGTATCTGTTATGAACTACAATAAACTGTGAAATGTCGATAAAAATGTATTTTAAATAAATAAATATAATGTCATTTATATAGTATGTGTTTACTATATAATATATATGGACCTTATTACATTCAATCAAAAATAGTTTTCGCTTACTTTTCTTTAATCTGTAAAAGTATTTAACTAATATGGTCTAATTGAAACAAGGGGTTAAGTAAGATACGATTGGGTTGGAGTGGCGGTGTACCTAAAGCCCATTTGAGCTCCAATGGCCCTTTGTATACTTGATCACCATTACACTTTTCTACTAAAGTAATATCGTTGATTACTTCTTCCCCATTCTACATATGGGCTCTTTTTACTTAGGAGCAGAAAATAAATACTTGGTTGAAAGATATGGATTACATCGTAACTGTTTGATAAAAGTTTTCCAGGTATTCATAGAAGAAGTATGAGTACCAGGAAGTTTATTTGGTATTATATAATTTATGCTTAATCATAAAAGATATGATAAGGTTTAGGTGCTTCTGTTTTCTGTAATCGTTTATCTCTTTCACAGTTTTATAAATATATTAAATTTAAATAGAAAACTTTACTGATGTTATTTTATTTCGTATGCCGGCTATACGGATGAGGAGGAAACTATACTTCAACTCAAGTGTCAGTGTCTGTCGTTGGCTAGAAGAAGATTCAAAATTTTTGAAACCCTTTTTTTACAGACTAACCTCCAACCTAACCTAACCTTCAATAAACTTGCTCCGAATATATATATTTGCTTTAGATATTCTTTTCTTCTTATTCAAACATTCCATAAAAAATTTATTTTCATAGGTTGATTTAAAAAACCGCTTTTTTAGATAAAAGAAGAAAAATTTAGAGAAAGACGTCTAAGTCAAAACCGTTTATACATTCATTTGTAGTAACTTATCTGAAAATGAATTCCATATCTATTAAAATAGAAATTTTATATTAATCATTTAAAATTTAAATTGTTGAACTTTAACTT